CACCAGTGTTCTTCGGTTGGCTTTTAGCCTTTGAGCTCCTGTCCCTCGTGTTCACAGAGTGTCAGCCTTTCCCTCCCAGCCCCATACCTGAAGCAGGAAGGCTGGCGTTGGCCTATGTGCTTCTCCAGGTCAGTTAGCCTGTGAAGCCCCAGGCTGTGGGCTCCTTTCCCAACAATGTTAGTGAATCAGGAGCTCCAGCTGCAGAAGCTCCCTGTCTCACAGCTCTGGAGGCTGGACTGGCAGGGTTGCTCCCTCCTGAGGGCACAAGGGCTTCTCTCCCTCCCCCCATCTCTGGTGGATTGTGGCAGTCTGGCATCGTGGACTTAGAAACTTCATTTTCACAGTGTGCCCCCTGACTTCATCCAGTCAGAGTTCACTGGCCTCCACTGTAACCTTATTCAACTCATTATGTCTGTAAAGTCTGTATTTTCAAATGCCACAGTCCGAGTTATTAGGACTCACAGGCCATCAGGCGAGTGAGTGTGATGTAGTCCTGTCCATCATGGCGGGCCTGTTGAGAAGAGCGAACTGTCATGTGTATTTTGAGGTATCTGCTTCTCTCCTCCTCCTGGTGGACAGGTGGGGAGTTTCCAGTGACCTCCATAGTGAGACCAATGGGTCTCCTGCAGGGGAACTCCAAAGCCCAGAGTCTGCTTCCAGCTTCTGCTGTAATGATTGTCTGTTCCCACCTGTCTCTCCAGCCTGCGTTTCCTTAAGTCTTGGGTGGAACTAAGAATCGTCGGCCTTTAAGTTTTCATTGTTTTCATGTGTGAGCATAGTGTGACTTTCAGTCTTCTTAGAGAGTAGGTCAGAAGCTGGGAGTCTGTGCAGCTTCATGTGCTCACGGGGATGGCATAGGTGCCACCCCAGCATCAGTCTGGGAAGTGTCTGTGTGGTGGTGTCACAAAACTGTCTCTGGTCTGTCTCGTGGGAGCGGGAGGGGCATCAGGCATCTCACCTGAGCCTGGAAGTACTCCAGCGAAGATTGCTGAGTTGCGTCTTTCCAGGCTTCAGACTGGGCCAGACAGCGCTTGCTAGTAAGAAAGACAGCTGACAGATTCTGGTGATGGGTAAGAACTGTGCATTCAGAAGAATATAGGCATACAGGTGATTGCATAGTAAAGAGGATGACTACAGAGTTTGTATCATAATTGATAGTACTTTGGAATGATTGTTCTAGTTACCTGTGGGTGTTCTGTGTTTGCCCTGCCCCTTTCCCATGGGTTTTTAATTTAGTCTGTACAGCATTGGACTGGCCCAAATAGTGTCTGTACTTGATGTGGTTGAGCCAGTTCTTTCTGTCTTTCCTGGTGGCCTGTAAAGACTGTCTTCTGTCCATGCGGGAGAGCAAGAGGAATAAAACATTCTTTTTCATGACTGTCATAGCAATATCCAAAATTATATTAAGACTTAGAGGGTTGGGAAGATGGCTCGGTGGCTAGAGCACTTGTCACAAAAGTGTGAGGACCAGAGTTTGAATCTCAGAATCTTGTAAAAGACAGGCAGGCATTAAGGGCCACCTATGACCTCAGTACTCAGGAGGCAGAGACAGGGTAATCCCTAGGGCAAGCTGACTACCAAGACTAGTTGAAATTGTTGAGTTCAAGATTCATTGAGAGATCTTGCTTTGATAAATAAAGTGGAGAGAAAATGAGGAAGACATCTGATGTCAACTTCGAGGCCTCTGTGTGCATACGCATACGCATACACACACTCACACACATACACACACACCACACGTGTACCCACTCACATACAGACAGGCACCACACACATAACAATCAGAAGGAATTAGGAAATCTGACACTTGATTAGTCAAACTAAGGAAACAGGAAGTGACCAAATCTCAGGTCTGCTGCTGCATCAGTAAGATATAGCAGAGTGTTGGCTATCAGATAGAATGATATGCCTCTTTGCTTTGGCCTCTGCCACATTAAAACAAACAAACAAATAAAACTTAGGGGATTGCGGCTGTTCCTATCTGGGGGACTCCAGACAGCTAGTCACAAGGTGAGGAGTCGTTACAGATAGCAAGGGAGGACTCAATACCACTGATCCCTCCTTGCCAGGGTTCCATCTGTATCAGTTCTTCTGAGGAAGGAAGGGCTTATGTCCTCACAGTTGGACGGTACAGCCTTGGCAGGGACAGTGGAACACTGGGAACTTGAGATATCCCGTGGGATCACATTGCACCTGCAGTCTGGAAACATGGACAGATGGATGCTGGTGACCCGCTTGCTTTCTCCTTCTTACTCAGTTTAGGACTTCAGCATACAGAATGGCGCTGCCCACGATTTGGATGAGTCGTCACACCTCAGTTAACTCCATACTGAGACTTCCACACAGGTCCCCAGAGACTTGTCTCCAAAGTGGCTCTTGAGCTTGTCAAGCTGGCAGTATTGACTATCACACTACCTAAGCCAGTTGCTTGTGGAGTTTTATGCAGTATAGCATTTATTATTTTATAGTTCCATATAGATTTTATAGGTCTCTGCTACCAAATAGTATCTGGGGGCGAGGCCTTTTTTCAGGCCGACTGACACAGTCACCTGCTTTGATGGCCCAGGACTAGCTGTGGGATTTCTAACGTGGAATGTGTATTGTTGTTGTTTTTCTTTTACTCTAGCCAAAATGTTGTTGGTTGTTTTTGCTCTTTTGGGGGACCACCACTCAGCTCCCAAATAAATCACACGTGGAGGCTTATTCTTACTTATAGATGACTAGCCTTAGCTTGGCTTGTTTCTAGCCAGCTTTTCTTAAACTTTAAATTATCCCATGTATCTTTGGCCTTGGGGCTTTCATCTTTCTGTATTCCTGTATACCTTTTCTGTCCTTCTTACTCCTTGTCTGGCTGTTTAGCAGGCTGGCTGGGTAGCTGGCCCCTGGAGTCCTCCTCCTCCTCCTTTGGCTACTTCTTCTGCCTTCCACATTTCTCCTTCTATTTATTCTCTCTGTCTGCCAGCCCTGCCTGCCCTTTCTCCTGCCTTGCTCTTGGCCATCCAGTTCTTTATTAGCCTATCAGGTGTTTTAGACAGGCACAGGAACAACTTCACAGAGTTCAACAAATGCAACATAAACTAAAGCTAAAACTTCAGCCTTAAGGCCTTGTGAAGCAAGTTGATCTGAGAGAAAGCTGTGGAAAAAACAAGTTTACAGTTGTGTGTAAAAGTTTACATTGAGTGAAATAGTTGAGTTCTCAATCCAAGTATAAAAAATACTCGTTGGTTTGCCACTGCATCTAAGGATTGGTGAGGGGGTACAAAGAGTTTTCAAGCAGACAGATTTGGTTAGCTTAGTGACCCCAACTTGTTAAAGCAAGTACTGAGGGAGGTTGTGAAACCTTTCCACAAAGCCATGGAACAGTCTAGGCTGGCCTGCTCACACACAGTTTTAGAGTGCAGAGGGGGAGTAGACCAGCCCTTTCCACACCAGTCCTATCGTGGAGAATGACTCTCGACAAGTAAGTTTGTTAAGCATATAGCAAGCAAGAGTAGAAGAATATCATCAAATTGGCACTTAAATCATCCTGTACAAATCAGCTTAAAGCTTGCACTCCATCATTCAGGCAAGTCAGGCCAGGAACTCAAGGCAGGAACCTAGAGGCAGGAACTGAAGCAAAGGCCACGAGGCATGCTGCTTACCAACTCGGCATCATGGCTTTCTCAGCTTGCTTTTTAAAATTATTCTAAAATTTAATTTCTTAATGTTTTTAATTGAAAGAGAATTTCATCACGTCTCTATCCCTTTTCTCCCTTGAACCGCTCGCTCCCTTGCTGGTCCCTCACTCTCAAGTTGATAGCCTCTTTTTTCTGATTATATTTGTTACATACATAAACGTATAAATACGTTTGTATGCAAAGGGACCTGCTGAGTCCATTTTTGTTGTTTGTGTGTATGTGGTTTCAGGGCTGACCAGTCTGCATTGGACAACCAATGAGGGGCTCGTCTCTAGAGAGGCTAATTCTCCTCCTCCCGGCAGTCAGTAGATGCCTGTCGTTCTTTGCCGTGGGGTGGAACCTTGCGTTCAGTTCCCCTTCCATATTTACGTGTCCCCCTTCCACGTTTACGTGTCCCCTTCCACGTTTATGTGTCCCCTTCCACGTTTACGTATCCCCCTTCCACGTTTACGTATCCCCTTCCACGTTTACGTGTCCCTTGCGCCACTGTTCCATTCTTCTTCATGCAGCCGTATCTAGGAGAGCTGTTTCACAAGGCACTCCCCGGTAGTTTGGCTCTTATCCTCTTCCTGCCCCCCTTCCCCACAGTGTTCCTCGAGCCACTGATGCAGGAGCTGTGGTGTAGATGTATGTAGATGGGGCTGGACTCCCTGCCGTCCTTGGTCTCTGCATTGTGACCAGTTGTGGTTCTCTGTGATGGTCTCCATTTGCTGTAAAGAGTCTTTGACGAGGGGTGGAAGCTACGCTCACCCGTGTCTAAGGATGAGATGTAGAATGAGTAGGAGTCAGGCTGTTCTGGTGGAGTGTCAGCTTGCTTTATTATAATGATCCTGTACCACCAGCCAGGACACAGGCCCACATGGGATGAGCCCACCCACATTAATCATTATTCAAGAAAGTGCCCCACAGGCCTGTCCACAGGCCAGTCTGATAGGGCCTTTTCTCAGCTGACTTCCCAAAGGACAATAGCCTGTGTTGAGTTATAAAAAACTAGCCATCACAGTGGAGTCATTGGGGCTGGAAGGGAAGTATACTAGAGTCAGTAGCTCAGACTGAGGGTGATTTGTTAAGTATAGCAACTCATAGTTCTCATTGTTTAAGCTCAACTGGGTCTTACTTCTTTTAGGACAAAGTGTAACTTTTGCTGATTGTTCCATATGAACCAAGACCTATTCTATGTTATGTATTGCATAGTTCAGCTGAGTACTCCAAACACAATAGGCATTTTGAGTCATATTTTTATCCTGTAAAAGGTGGTCTGGTTTTAACACGATGTGCCCCTTGCCTTTGACTGTAGCATGCTCTCTTGCCTTTTGCTTTCAGGGAGGGTGTTCATGTCAATCAGGAACTGCTGCAGATACCGCCTTGTGTTACAGAGCGGTTCATCGAGCTGCTCTGTCAGTTCAGTCCAGACCAAGTCATAGAGACGCTGCAAGTCCTCGAGTGCTACCGTCTAGAGGAAACCATTCAGGTAAGGCCTGCCTCAGGCACAAGACACATGCGACTTTCCCAGCAGCCTCCCCTTTCCGGGTGCGTGCAGGGACCAGGTGTGCAGTTCCTTGCAGAAGCTGGGAAGTAGTAAGTGCTGGCACCCAAGGTGGAGTCGTCACTGCTATAGTCAGCTGCTTTTAAACAGCACTCGGCCCTCCCTGCAACGATTCAGGTTTATGTAGATTCTAACTAGCAAAGTAAGCCTGAAAGGGGAGCTTGTCAAGCTCCTGTCTGCAGACGGTGATGGTTAAATAGTCCTGGTACACCATGAAGTGCAGCAGGCTGAATAACAGTCCAGTTGCTTCAGTGTGCTTCTTGCCTTGATTTCTTCTGCTTCTGAGTGAGTAAAAGAGACAGACCCGTGTGTGTGTTTGTATGTGCAGGTGTGCATTGTGAGGCTAGTATACTTCCCTTCAAAATTTAGATATAACATTATGTCTTCTTTCCTTTGGCTGCTAACAAACAGTAACCTGTGCTTTCTGCATCCACTTTCTGCTGCCTCCATACTTTAAAATATTGATTTATGAAATATTTCATGAACTGAGAGATGTGCACAGTATCAACTCCATATGTACCCACCAAGTAAATTTCAGTTCCAACTTCTTACTTATTTTACAGATAAAGCACCTTTCTCTGTTGTTTTTCTCACACACAGAGGCTTATTCTTAATTATAAATGCCCTGCCTTAGCTTGGCTTGTTTCTTGCCAGTTTTTCTTAAATTAGGCCATATACCTTTTGTCTCTGGGTTTTTCCTCTTCTCTTACTTCTGTAAATCTTACTCTTACTCCATGACTGGCTATGTAGCTGTATGGCTGGTCCCTAGAGTCCTTTTCTTTCTCTGGCTCTTCTCTTCTCTCTCTCCCAGATTTCTCCTTCTGTTTACCCTCTCTGCCAGCCAGCCCTGCCTATTTATCTCTCCTGCCTTGCTATTGGCTGTTTAGCTCTTTATTAGACCATCAGGTGTTTTAGACAGGCACAGTAACACAGCTTCACAGAGTTAAGCAAATGCAACATAAAGGTAACACACCTTAAAATAATAGTCTACAACATTTTCCTCTTTTTGTCTAAATAAGAAAAAGGTTTTAACTTTTAGTATAACTACATACAACAAAACAGTTATCAAGTAAGAATTAATTTACAATATTCAGTCCATTTACATTCAGCTGATTCAGAGAAAGCATTCCACCATCTATCCATCTTAGTGACTCCAAAGTTTTCTACATAATTTACTTTCTATCATAACTCAGGAAAACTGCAACTTTAACTATCTAGTCTTCAATTCCATCAAAGACCCTAGAAGGATATAAAATAATTTAAGTAAACAAGAAGTGCATTGCAAACAACTTCCAAAAACTCTGGAAATGACAGAGACATCTGACTGCCTGGGCAGTCACCCAGAGTTTCTCTGCAACATTGGGGCATCCATTTTCAGCCTACAGGCCAATAATATCTGGCAGACTTTTCAGTGAAGCAGGAATTTTGGACTGTCCTACCTTGTTTTGGCAAAGTTCATCAGTCACTTTCCTCTGTGTCCTGCAGAGTGTCTGGCAGACTCTTCCGTGAAGCAGGAACCCTAAAGGACCATCCTGCCTTGTGTTGGCAAAGTTCAGCGGTCACTTTCCTGTGGGTCCTGCATGTCCAGTTTATACAGCATCCTGTCTAGCAGTCAAGGCAAGAGCAGTTTCTTTGCCCAGTGGCTAATCTTGCCACATTGAAAGCAAACTCCATAAGGAGTTTCTTGGATGCCCATCATCTCTGAAGTAGATTGGTGCTGCCAGGAGCAGCTGTGTCTCATTGTCATGAAAAGCCCTAAGTTAACAAAACTTTGTAAATGCCATATTCTGTAGGTCACTGAAAGGTTTGAAGACCATCTATTTATCTGAAATATATTGCTATGTGATCTGGAAAGCATACTTAACATATCTACATATTTGATTGTTATTAATGACTAACCACTAACTTAGGTTTCCTGATTATCCTATAGAGCTTATAATAATAGCTTTCAAAAACTAAAACTTCACCCTACATTTCCAAAGAACTACATAGACCCAATACCTTGAACAAAAATAGAAAAATACATACAGTATGTTGTAACAAAAATAACCTTAAATTTTTATCAATATACAAAAATCCTTTAAACAAGAGTAGAAACATATATACTAGTATAACAAAAATAACTTTAAATTTGTATCAATATTCTATATTCCTCTAAATGATAACAAACATCCACAACCAACCAAAAAAACACAAAACATCTACACCCCCCACACTCTTGAGAATGTGGACGCAGTTTTCTTCAAACTGCTTCCTGCTGTCTGTGGACAAAGCATCGTTAGGGTCCTAGAGAGAAAATCTGAGATAATTGCTAAGTCCTGGGAAGACCAGCTGTAACCTTTGCTGAGATATCACCTGTCAAGATTCAGGAGGTCTTGCCTGATCCAACCTGATCCATACTAACCCTGAAGGATTCCACAACCTCTCATCTCCTGTGGGAACAAAACTCCAAAGCATTTTTGATTTCTATTTGACAAATAATCTTTTTAAAGTTAAGGCGTTCCTAAAGTATCTAGATTGGTTCAATTTTGCAGTCCTGTTCACAATCCCTTGTCTGTCAGCAGCTGTCCTTTGCTTTTCAACAATCAAAAAGTTCAAAATCAACACAATAACATACAGGATTCAGACTCCTTGTGTATTTCCCACCTCTAGGTGGCTTATTCTTTTTTATATTACCATATATAACTATTTTATATAACTGTTTATTTTTTTTTTCTATAGCCTACACACATTGTTAAACACACTGTAACCTGTTTAGAGGTTTTTCCATCTGGACTTCTTTTATTTCATATCTTTTAGACTTTTTGACCACATGAACAAACTTTAAACTGCTGAGTGGCGTGGACCTCTGCCCACAGCTTTGGCAGCTGGCTGGGCCCTCTCCTCAGGTCAGGAAAGCCAGGCTGAGACTCAGGAGCCCGGTCAGAGGTTTGTGCTGAGAACTGCATTCAACCCTCCTAGAGCTCTAGAATGATGATGTGGCAGGCATTTTTACTTAGTTTGTTCCTACTTAACTTCATACTGACTGCTCAAGGGCTCACTGGCTGACATAAACTGGCCAAAACTCTTAAAGGAGTCATATTTTTTTTCAAGCTATCTCGGGCCCTATGGAAATTTGAGTGCCACATTGGTTCACCAAAATGTTGATGGTTGTTTTTTACTCGTTGCTCTTTTGGGGGGCCCACCACGCAGCTCCCAGATAAATCACACATGGAGTCTTATCCTTAATTATAAATGCCTGGCCTTAGTTTGGCTTGTTTTTTTGCCAGCTTTTCTTTACTTAGCTTGTCTACTATTTTGCCTCTGGGCTTTTCTTGTTCTCTTACTTCTGTAAATCTTACTCTTACTCCATGGTTTGCTGTGTAACTGGGTGTCCCCTGGAGTCCTCCTCCTCCTCCTTTTGCTAGTTGATCTTTTCTCCTCCCAGATTTCTCCTCCTATTTATCCTCTCTGCCTGCCAGCCCCGCCTATCCTTTCTCCTACCTTGCTATTGGACATTCAGCTCTTTATTAGACCATCAGGTGTATTAGACAGGCAAAGTAACACAGAGTTAAACAAATGCAACATAAACAAAAGTAACATCACTTAAAATAGTATTCTACAACATTTCTCCCCTCTCCTCTGAGGTCAGCATCAACCAATGCTTGTGTGGTATTTGCCCTTCAACTCATGGTTTATGCTTATAAAATGGACGATAGCTTTACATGCTTTAAATTTTGTATTAATGGTGTCAAAAGGTACATGTCCTATTGCTAATCATTTTCTACTTTTTTGTTTTGTTGTTGTTTTGTTTTTTTTCCAGACAGGGTTTCTCTGTGTAGCTTTGGAGCCTGTCCTGGAACTCAATCTGTAGACCAGGCTGGCCTTGAACTCAGAGAGATCCACCTGCCTCTGCCTCCTGAATGCTGGGATTAAAGGTGTGTGCCACCACTGCCTGGCTTCTTTCTAGTTTTTAATTAGAGGATCTTATGTTTTCAAGTCTGTCTCGTCCATCTTAATGATGATAGAATTTTCCACCAATACCCCGGCCAGCAGGGTCTCAACGGGGGCTACCCACCTGCAGGAGAGAATGAAAGGGATGGGGAGACACGAAGACAGCAAGACAGGGTTCTGATCAAGCTGCAAATTTTATTCTCCTCAGCAAGGCTTATATAGCTTGGGAGGGGGAGGGGGCCAGGAAGGAGGAAAGGGGTGCAGGACGTGCAGGTGAGGGGGCGCAGGTCGTGAAGCTGCAGGATGTTGTGCTAGGTGATAAGGTCACTGGTCAGGGCCCATTGTTCTGTTGCTATGCTACCTGACCTACCTGACCGAGGAATGTTCTTTATCTTTGAGGGCATCTGGTTTAGGGCCTGTGGCTTGTTCTCTGTCCTTGCTAGTACTTTTCCATGGTTCATGTTCGGTCCCTGACACACCAACGGAAATTTGCTAGTTTGCTTTTTTTCTTTGTTGAAAAATGTTTAGAGGCTTCTGGTTTTTTTTTTTTTTTTTTTTTTTTTTTTTTTTTTTTTTTTTTTTGTGTGTGTGTGTGTGTGTGTGTGTGTACACTGATGTGCCACAGTGCACATGTAGAAGCTGGAGGACAACTCTCAGGAGTCCTTCCACCGTGGCATCTAGGAATTGAACTCGGGTCATGAGTTTCCAGGCAGCACCTTTAGCCACTGAACCATTTTGCTGGACCTCTGTCTGAGTCAGGGTTACTGTTGCTGTGATGAGACATCATGAACAAAGAAACTTGGAGAGAGAAGAGTCTATTTGGCTTATGCTTCCTCATCACTGTTTATCACATCAGGACAGGAACTCAAACAGGGCAGGATCCCAGAGGCAGGAGCTAATGCAAAGGCCATGGAGGGATGCTGCATACTGCTCTGCTTCCCATGGCTTGCTCAGCCTTCTCTCTTTTAGAACCCGGGACTACCAGCCCAGGGATGGTGCCACCCACAGTGGGCTGGGCTCTCCCCCATCAATCACTAATTAAGAAAATGGCTTACAGGCTTGCCTACATTCCTGTCTTATGGAGGCATTGTCTCAATGGAGGTTCTCTCCTTTCAGATGACTCTAGCTTGTATCAAGTTGACATAAAACTAGCCAGCACACCCCCTTACTGATTTTTAATACCATGTTGTGTTATATTAAGCTCTACACATGCGCAGATCTGTGTGGTTCTCTTCTGTTCCTTTGGTTGTTTTTCCTTACATATGTACCACATATTAGTCAATGCAGCTTTACAGGAAGGCTTATTGTTTGGAGAAGGCCATGTCCCCTCCCTGTCTTGATAACACTCCAGCAGTTCCCTGCCTCTTCCCAGCCCTGCATCACTTAGGAATCACAGTACCAGGTTTCTTTCGAGACTTTCTGGAGCTTTGGCTATGAAATGCAAATTGCACCAGTGTGGAGAGAATTGACAGCCCTGTGGCACTGATGCTTCACATTCAGAAATACTTGCCTTTTTGGAATGCCTTTTGTGTCTTTTGGTGATATTTTATAAACTTTTTTTGTTTTATAAGACAGTCTCACTGTGTATCCCTGGTTAACCTGGAACTTGCTATGTAGAGCAGGCTGGCCTTGGACTCAGAGATCCTGCCTCTGCCTCCTGAGTGCTGTGGTTACAGAGGTGTGCACCCCATGCCCTGCCTCTGTAAGGACATTTCATCACAGCAGTGCAGAAAGAAACAGACAATTTGTGCGCCTGCCCATCTTTACTGATTTAGATATTCTAGTTTATTAATTTTTACTAAAACCCCGTAAGTCAACATCTACTCTTTTCATTTTATTCTGAATGCTCTCTATAGAATTATAGCTGACACTTTCTAGTTTATAGCATTATTGTTTGTTTTTGTGTGTTGGCTTTTCTTCAGGGCATGCACCTCATTCAGATGTGTGACAAATTTGGAAAATAAACAAAGGGATGAATTTGTTCAAAGTAGAACTGCCAGATGGGTTCAGTATAAGATAGGCTCCCCATGCCGTACTGTCCGGCGTGCTATAGACACAGGTTCATTAATGCGTGTCGGGTGTGTTTTGTGTGCTGTGCTCTTTGTACTCTGTAAACAGAATCTGCAGGAGTGCTTTCTTGATTTTCTAGATCACACAAAAGTATCAGCTCCATGAAGTCACTGCATATCTGTTGGAGAAGAAAGGGGATGTTCACGGTGCCTTCCTCCTGCTGCTGGAGGTAATGTTTGCGTGTGCTCACTGCCACACTTCTGTCTCTCTGAAATTCTGTCTGTCTTTGTCTCTTGTGTTTTGAGGTGAGCTGCAATAGAAGCATGTTTTCTTTTGTGTGATTTTTTTTTTCATGTCACCATGATGCTTTCTGACTAGTATTTGGGGTTCTCTCAATTTAAAAAGAAACATTCCTTCTTGCAAAGATGATTGTAAAGTTTAAAATTCACCATTTTAGCCACTTTGGTAGCAAGTGTACCATTCAGCAAGGCCAAATATAGTCACATTGTTATGCATCTGCCACCATCCACCTTTAGAACTGTCCCAGCATCCAAGTTTGCAGTAGTACATGTGTGAGCTGATGAGAGCCTTTGACATGGGTATGGCAGTAGTTATGGAGAGAAGAGGTGTGAAGCTGGGAAGTTGACTATCATTTGATTACAATGTGAAGGGAATGAAGGGGAGGAAGGATAAATGTTGACATTGACTTACAAACTGAAAATCCATAATTCAAAGTTCTATGGCTTTGGCTTACAAGGCACCCAAGAAAAGGAGCCCTTTGAATTATGGGCAGAATTGGTGACACCTGATCTCTGCAGCTATTCCTGCACTGCAAGCTCTGTGGACAGGTCGTCAGTGCTGAAGGACAGCAGAAGAACGCTGGATTGGTTTATTTACTTACTTACATGTGGATCTCTATGGGCACATGCAAGCCACAGTGTTCATGTGGAGGTCAGAGGACAAGTTGCAGGAGTCCTTTCCCTCCACCATGTGGGTCCCAGGGATGGAACTCAGGTCCCCAAGGCTTGGTGACAGGGACTGAGCCATCTCACCGGCTGTTTCTTTGGGGTTCACTTGTAAAATTTGTGTAAGTATGTCGTGGGTAGAGATATAAAGTGTTCTGTCACCTCTGTGTTTTTTCCTCCTAGAGACTGCAGAGCAGACTGCAAGAGATAACACAGCAAGGGGGAAGTAAGTTCTTGGATGTAAAACGCTTTTCCTCCACTGACCTCATGTTGTGAAAAACGTTGTATAGTGTCCCGCCTTAATTAGTAATGACTATACTTGGCCATTTTCATAGTCACCCTTCATCTACTTTAACGTAGATTGAAGTTTTAGTGGTCTTCAAGGACGCCGAACAGGAAGCCATGCACCACTGTGGTGTGATGAGGTTAGCCGTGCAGGGAATGCGGCACCTCTCTCTGTCTGTGGTCATCTCCAATTGCACTTGTATACGCGTGACTTGGCTGTGTGTGGGTCCATAACTAACGTGCTTAAACTTGGTGTCCTCTGCCAAACAGCAGCAGCAGATCAGAGCGTCTGGTCTGTGGCACCAAGCAGTAAATCTGGAGTGACTGACACAGATAAACTTTGTTGTGTTCATTGACATTTCTTTTAATTTTTAAAAATTATGGTAAAATAAGAAAAAACTACCAAAAGTATCAATAACAATAAATGTTATCATACTGCAATGCATGCTTCACCAGTACCTAGTTCAGTTTTTGTGTCACCCAAGCAGACCCTCTGTCTCCACAGGCAGCAGTCCCCCCAACACCACTCTGCTTCCTGTTCTGCTCTCCAGTTCAGATTCACTTTCTGAATTTGTCTGACACATAAGAGCGAAATCCTAGTGTGTTTGAGTTTATGATTGACTCATTTCCCTTGGTGTAACGTCTTTAAGGTTCATAAATGTTGGAACACATGTCAGAATGGTCCTCTAAAGCGGTACAGTGTTCTGCTGTATCCGTGTCTATCACATGCATTTACCCTTTTAACAAACACTTGGATTGGCCCATCTTGGTCTGCTGGATAATTCTGCTGTGAACATCCTTGTCATGCAGATATTTTTTGGGTTCTCACTTTCATTTCTTTTGGGTATAAAAACAAAAGTGGGGCCACTGGATAAAGTAGTAATTTTAAAAGTTCCTTTGTGCTGGGAGTCACATCCAGAGTCTCATTCATGCAAGGGGTAAGAGAAGGAAGCATTGGCATTGAGAGTGACTCATAGGTCAGGGAACTTGGAGGTGGTGACTCTAATTCCTCTGAAATTGAGGGGAGAAGCAGATTTGAGGTGAGTAAGATGAGTTACAGGACACTTGATCAGAGTGACTGAGGAAGGAAGTTTCTCTTAGCTCACAGTTTGAGGGTGCGGTCCTTCACAGTGGGGGGCGGGGGCCAGGAGCAGCTCCAGCTGTGGCAGCAGGAGCCTGAGGCAGCTGGTCATGTGGAAGACAGAAGCAGGGACACTGCTTGCTTCTCCTTATTAAGTCTGGACTCTAGCCCTTGGGAGAGTGACACCCATGTTTTGGTGGCTCTCCCAGCTCTTCGGTAAACATACACACACACACACACACACACACACACACACACACACACACACACACACGTTTCCATGGTGATTCTGAATTCAGTTCAGTTGACAATGAAGATTAGCCAACTAAAGCTAGACACAGAGAGGAGGGGAAAGTACATGTTTCATAGAAGCTCTGAGGCCTTAGTAGCATATCTTTGACATTTATCCTCTTTCCAAATCTAGATACCAAGGAGGCTTTTCCACTGAAGGGTGTTGAAGATACCATGGTAGAGACAATTGCTCTTTGCCAGAGAAATTCACAGAATTTGAATCAGCAGCAACGAGAGGTAGGCTGATATCTGCTTAGGAGTGTAAAAACTTGTTCTGTGTGGAAACTCGCAGTTAATTCTATTTCCGCTGCCCTCTTGGCAACCTGAATTTAATTTGTTTGGGCTTTAATCACTTTTTAGTGTTCCCAGGAGCGTAAGGCTCTTGACGTCATTATCAGGAGGATCTGGCTCCTTTCTTTCACGAAGGCCTCAGGAGGCCCGTGGATTCAGCGGCAGAGTGTTGGTGTGGGATGCTGGGTGCCTGTGGTGCCTATGGAGCCTGTGGAGCGGAACTTCTGTTTCTGCCAGGTGGTGGAACTGGTTGTCAGTTGTCATCATTTCTTCTGTTCACAGTGGGTAGGAGTGAGTGTGAAGAGCAAGAGCAAAGCCCTCGGGGGTACCAGAGTGCAGCGGAGGGTAACACAGGGAGGCTGTAATACGGTGATTCTCAGCCTTGGCTACACATGGGAGTGGCCTGGGGGCTTTGAACATTTTCATTCCTTAATTAACTGACGGTCTCTGCGGCTACCATCAGTTTGTCCTAATGCTGTACATGATTCTAGTGAGTAGTCAAGCTTACAAAACTCTGCTGCTAACGGTGCAGACTGAACGGAGTTAAAGCATAAAACCAGGGGAGGTGCAGACGAGCACCCGTGCAGTGAGACAGGAACCACAGGTGCCGTGGGGTGGAGGGCTGAATGCTCTGGTGCTCTTACAAGTAAAGTTGTCAACTGGGGTGGGAGTTTAGTAACAGCACTTGCCTGTCCTGTGTGAGGGCCTCAGTTCTGTCCCCAGGGAGAGCTGATAGCGGTTAGCTGTAGCCCACACACAGCTTCTCTGTCTCTGCTTGCCCCTCCAGGGTTTCTGATCTGGCGTCGTACTGATAGCAAGACCTCTTCTCACATCCTAGGTTTCTCAAATGGGGAACTCAGATTAAATTTTCGTATGTGTGTCTGAAGTTTTCTCTGGTCCTGCCCAGCCCCACAGACCCCACAGCCACTTATAAAATAATCACTCAGAAGCTTATATTAATTAAAACTGCTTGGCCATTAGCTCAGGCCTACCACTGACTAGCTCTTACATTTAAACTCAGCCCATTTCTGTTAATCTATATGTTGCCACGTGTTCCGTGGCTTTACCTGTGTGCCATTACATGGGGCTCCCTGGATGGCGGGCTGGCGTCTACTGACTCAACCATCCAGCCTTCCCACAATTCTTTGTTTGCTTATCTCACCTATACTTCCTGCCTGGCTACTGGCCAATCAGCATTTTATTTATCAGCCAATCAGAGCAACACATTCACAGCATACAGAGCAGTATCTATAGCACATATGTATGTACTATATATGTTAAAATAAAAAAATGCATCTTGGCATGTTTTCTGTCTTGATAATTTTATAATTTATTATGTTTTTGTCAGGCATTGTAAAAAGTATGCATAAGAAACATTTACATGTAGATGTTATTTTTTCCTTATGAAAACTTTTTGGTGAAATAACACAGATACCTTAAAAAATCATTCAGTACTGGAGACTGGGGTGTGATGCAGCAGTTAGAGTACTTGACATGAGCAAGAGGGCTGGAGTACAGACCCCCAGAGTCCACATAAATTCCAGGGAGATGTGGTGACTGTTAGAGGCTAGCCTTCTACACATTCTGGGTTTGACTGAGGGTCTCCATGTACACACACATACATGCACACATACACACATGTAGACACACACACTAACCTTTATTTCTTAATTATCCTAAACAGTTTGTAATAATAGCTTTCAAGGACTAGAGCTTTACATTTTTAAATGAGCTGCATAGGTACAATACCTTAAACAAGAGTAGAAATATGTATATGTGTGTGTGTGTATATAACAAAAATAACCTTAAATTTGTATCCATACACAAAATTCTATACAATGTAAAATGTTTGAGACTAGTAGTTGTTTTTTAGTTTAAAAGTAGATTCAATAATCTGTTGTGGAATATTATTTTAAGGTATGTTACTTTTGTTTATGTTGTATTTGTTTAACTCTGTGAAGCTGTGTTACTGTGCCTGTCTAAAACACCTGATGTTCTAATAAAGAGCCAAATGGCCAATAGCAAGGCAGGAGAGATAAATAGGCAGGGCTGGCGGCAGAGAGAATAGATAGGAGGAGAAATCTGGGAGGAGAAAGGGAAAAGGAAGTAGCCAGAGGAGGAGGAGGACTCCCAGCCATCCACCCAGCTACACAGCAAGCCATGGAGTAAGAGTAAGATTTACAGAAGTAAGAGAACAGGAAAAGCCCAGAGGCAAAAGGTAGTAGATGGGATAATTAAAGGTAAGGAAAGCTGGCAAGAAACTAAGCCAAGCTAAGGCTAGGCATTCATAATTTCGAATCAGCCTCTGTGTATGATTTATTTGGGACCTGAGTGGCAGGTCCCCCAAAAAGGAGTAAAAAAACCACCAGCAACAATAGTCTACCCTTTTATCCTATTACCCCTGTATCCCCCTCCTTTTTTTTTTTCACTAAATAGAAGAGAAAGGATAGAGGAAAGAGAAAGAAAGAAATTCCTTAATCTAATCTCCTTTGCTTAATTTCTTCCCTGACCATGACCAATAGCAACTTGCAACTGACTTTCCTAAACAATGACAAATATCCATAACCCATTGAATGACCAAAAATCATCCACCCCACCTCTTGAGAATGTGGGCGTCATGTTCTTAAAATTATTTCCTATTGTCTGGGGAGTGACTGAGAAATTGAGACAAGTCCTGGGAGAGCTAGCTGTATCATCTGTTGTCCAGTCTCTGTGTGATGGGAAAGCGCAGGGCTTACCTGAAATCCTGGCTGGAGTAGTCTGTGAGGCTGGACCCTCTCAGCCAGCAGCTTTGAAGGTGTCCTGAGCAGTGTTATGAGGACACTGTAACAGACATTCTGTGAGACTGGATCACCTGGCTACTTGCCTTCATTAGTGTCTGGTCTTTTTTTCTGAAAACTTTTAAAGGTAATATATATATCTGTATCAACACAAGTATGGAATGTGTGGTGTGCACAAGTCAGCTAAAGATGATTTTCTGTTCTATGTTTGAGCAGGTAAAAGGCATCTGCCAACTTTGTAAGTCTATTTGGACCATATAACCAAACTGTACTTTAAATCTCTCTTCATGCCATATGAAAGGATGGCTTGTAATAATAAGTAATGTGACTCTGTAGCCAACAAGATGTATCATATCTCATCCAGTCTCAGAGCTGTTCCCATGTAGAGGGATCAGCATATTCCTCTCCTGTCTTGTAGCTTTTCTTGGTTTCTTCCTTCATGTCTATAGCCAAGATTTTCAGGAGGTTTCCTCCAGTCAAATATGATTTTTATTAATTTTGAAGGAATCCATAGCTTTTTGTTTCCTGCAGGAACTAAGACATAACCTTTTGCTCAATGTAACACATTTCCTGACTTCCATTCTTAAGTTAAGACATCCTATATGTGTGTGTGTGTGTGTGTGCTCGTGTGTGTGCGTGTGTGTGCGCGTGTGTGTGTGTGCATGTGTGTGTGCGTGCGTGTGTGTGTGCGCGTGTGTGCGCGTGCGTGTGTGTGCGCGCGTGTGTGTGTGCGCGCGTGTGTGTGTGTGTGTGTGTATGTGTGCGCGCGCGCGTGTGTGTGTGTGCTGGTTTAATTAAGCATTTTTTTTTTTTTACAATCCAATGTCTCTCAGCAGTTATTTTTTGCTCATGAGCATTTAAAAAATTTAAAGTTAATAAAATACTATATAGGATCTACATGCCTTATGTTACAGTATTCCCTATCCTTATGTGGCTTGCTCTTCATGTATTGCTTCACACTCTCTTTAAAGATTCACTTTATTATTTCTAAACTATTTTTTTATGACTGTCTATACTCATTTTCTTTTTTCTTCAGTACCTAAGCACATTTTCAAGCATACCGTACCTGTTCAGAGGTTTTTCTCAGTCTGGACCTGGCTTTCTGCATGCCTGCAGCCTTCTCTGACCATGTGAGCCAAGCCTTAAAGGGCCAGGCTACTGGCTGTGTGGTTCTTCTTAGCACTTGGCGCCGGGGGCTGGCTCCACCCCACCTTTGGTCAGTCCAGTGGGCTACCCCTTGGTTCTGGGCTACAGCCGCTATTTGCCTTTCTGGGGGAGCCTATCTGCTCCAATTCTGAGAAGTTGGTGGGCTCCTGCTGCGGCAAGTGTTTTACGTAGTGCCAAGTACTGTGCCAGCTGTTAAGTGGTTGATCTCACAGCGGGGCCTCTAAAAGGAGCCATGTCTCTGTACGCCATTAGCACCTGGCCTGCTTCAGAGATGGGGTCACTAAGAAGCCATATCTGGCTCCATGTCCAGATCTTTTTCAGCTTTCTCAGGCCCTATGTGGATATATGTACCATGTGTTGGACACCAAATGTAGTCAGAATTTCTTTGGATGACTAGCTCCCAAATAATGACTCAGAGACTTATTAATTATGAAAGCTTGGCCTTAGCTTAGGCTTGTCCCCAATTAGCTCTTTTTTTTTTTTTTTTTTTTTTTTTTTTTTTGGTTTTTCGAGACAGGGTTTCTCTGTGTAGATTTGCGCCTTTCCTGGAACTCGCTTTGGAGACCAGGCTGGCCTCGAACTCACAGAGATCCACCTGCCTCTGCCTCCCGAGTGCTGGGATTAAAGGCGTGCGCCACCACCACCCGGCCCCAATTAGCTCTTATAACTTAAATTAACTCATTTGTATTAATCTACATTCTGCCAAATGGCTTGTTACCTCTCTTCAGTACCCTACACCATACTTGCTCCAAGTCTCATTGGTGAATTCCCCACCTCTCTGATTCTTCCCAGAGTTCCTATCTCTGCCTGGAAGTCCCGCCTATCCTCTCCTGCCTAGCTATTGCCCATTCAGCTCTTTATTAAACCAATCAGAAGGTGCCTTTCAGAAAGTGTTACCTAATTCCACAACAGATTCCTTGAAGCTTGGTGTTATTTGTCCTTCATCCCTTCTCCTCCTGTACTGACCCCCTCCCCCCAGTTGAAGACCCGACCCATGAATACTCTTTGCTATCTCCTCCCACTATCCACTAGTTTCTGCCTCATTATGAGCAATTTTCACAACAATAGCAAACTATTTAAATGCTCATCGTTCTGCAAATTTATTTTCATGAAAATCATTAAGCTTAGGGGATTTCTTTTTTAATATGATTTTATTCTTTGAGAACTTCAAGTATATTTTGATCATACTCATCCCCATTTCCCCATCTAACTCTTCCCAGATCCATTCCCACCTCCTGTTCCTTCCCTTTTCTCTCAGACTCCATTGAGTCTGATTTATTCAACCCATGTGTTATAATACATGTAGCACCAACCAATGGAGCATGGTCCGCCTCTCAGGGACTAGACCCTTACAGAACACCAATGACTCTTCCTCCTCTAGAAGACATCTGCTTCAGTGGCACCTCAGTTAGTTTACTTTGTATCTCTTTGTTTTGTATTGAAGAAATTGAGAACAAAAACTGTTGCTTTAGCAAAGAAGTAACTAGAAGATTTGAAACACCCAAAAGCTTGATAATGAACCACCTTGACTATTTCCCAGGAGAAGGCCTACCAGAAAATCCAATTATTTGGAGTATTTTCTTGAAATTAGACCTTAGGAAATTGGATGATCAGTCCTTCTCCAAGGAGACTGAGCACCCCCACCTCTTCTGTCTGTTCCGTATGACTTCCTGTGTGTCTGCAGCATGCATTTGCAGTGTTCTATGACCACAGGAGACAAATCTTAAACTGTTAGGCTACTATGGAGCGGCACTGGCTTCTGGCTGTGCACCCCTTGGTTCTCTGAGAGCCTAGCCTCATGCCAGCAGGTACTGGCGGGAGCCACACTTACTGCCCCAGCTCTGGAAAGTTGCTGAGCCCATGTTCCGGAGTCCCTGCACATGGTAGCCAACGACTGTGAGTACTCACAGAGAGGCCCAGCAGCAATTTATCTATCCATGTAGTCGTACCCCATGTTGGGTGCCAACTGTAGCAAGCTTTCTTTTGGGCCTCCAGCTCATAAATAATGGCATGGAGAATTCTTATTAATTATGAAAGCTTAGCCTTTAGCTTAGTCTTGTCCCCAACTATCTCTTATATCATAATCCATTTATATTAATCTACAGTCTGCCATGTATCTTGGTTACCTGTCTTCTGTACTGTATGTCCAACTTGTTCCACATCTCGCTGGCATCTCTCTTCTTTCCAGAGTTCTCTCTCTCCCTAAAAATCACACCTGTTCTCTCCTGTCTGGCTATTGGCCACTCAGCTCTTTATTAAACCAAGCAAGTAACACATCTTTACACAGTATTTGTATTGTGTAAACAAATATTGTGCAGCAGTCCCCACCTATGCATATCTGTTCCTATATTCTGACTGTCCACACCTCTGCATATCTGTTCCTATATTCTGATTGTCCACACCTCTGCATATCTGTTCCTATATTCTGACTGTCCACACCTCTGCATATCTGTTCCTATATTCTGACTGTCCACACCTCTGCATATCTGTTCCTATATTCTGACTGTCCACACCTCTGCATATCTGTTCCTATATTCTGACTGTCCACACCTCTGCATATCTGTTCTATGTGCTGAGTGCCCCCACCTGTGCATATCTGTTCCTGTGTGTCATCTCATGTGATGGGATTGTCACAGTATGGGTCATTATTTTAATGTGGGTTTTTAGACTTACCCAGCTTAAAATCTTAGAAATCAGTATTATAGAATAAGAGAGATAAAAAGTAAAGGGTGAAAGGACTGATATCAGCACCAGACACCCCAAGACCAAGTTCTCAGAACAAAGGAGATTTATTTGTCCCGGGGGACAAAGGCCAGGGAATGAGAGACAAAGACAGGAGACAGAGGATGAGAGAGAAGGGGAAGGGGACAAGGGAGAAGGGGGAGGGGATATTTGCTCCAGAGGGACAAAGGACTAACTGCCTCTGGATAGAGAGGAGACAGACATGACCCATAGGCAAATGGCAGTTTATAAAGGTAAAAGGGAAACCCTTGTTAGGATAAGGTGTTTAATTTTAATTGGGCGTGTTAATTAGGAGAGCCAAAGGGAGCTTTTCATCCTGGACTTTAATACTTGGATAACTGGACCTTGGTAGTCAGCCACAGGAGGAAGAAGTGTCCAAATAAGGGACTAGACCTTGATGACTAGCTTTAGAAATGTAATCTAACAGTTTTTAGCAAGGAAGAGAGAATAGGGCACAGGCAAGGCCTGCCAGAGCCATGGCTATCACGCTCGGGCCTGCCAGAGTCCCTTATGCCATATGTTTTAAGGTTAATATAGAGGTTTAATAGAAGAATAGCTCTCCCATTTAAGATATGAATATATCCCATGGCTTTTATCCCTACACATATATCATCTGCCATTTGGAAAGTAAGAATAAACCTTTTTTAAAAGATAATTTAAAAAATCATTTGATGCCGGGCGGTGGTGGCGCACGCCTTTAATCCCAGCACTCGGGAGGCAGAGGCAGGCGGATCTCTGTGAGTTCGAGGCCAGCCTGGTCTACGGCGCGAGATCCAGGAAAGGCGCAAAGCTACACAGAGAAACCCTGTCTCGAAAAACCAAAAACAAAAAAAAAAAAAAAAAAAAAATCATTTGATTAAATAATTTTATAAATCAAATTTCTAAACATAATAAATAAACAAACCAAAAGTAAAAGTCAGGTATGCCATGTAAAATAGAGTTCCCTAAAATAAACAAATACATGATGTGCTTCTAAAAACAAGATAGAAAGAGAACTGAAAGCGAGGTGCTTGAGAGGAGACCACAAGGACACAATCACCAGCTAAAAGAAATACAGCTCCAAGTCAAGGAGCTGCACACGCCAGCAGAATAAGTGGAACACTTGGAGAGGGGAGCCTGGGCAGCACAGCTCCCTGCCTCGGCTGCCGATGGGTAGAAGGAGCTCTTTGTGACACTGGACACCCACTATCCCAGGCACCCTTCTCAGTGGACACCCACTAGGAAAGCCACCAGACCTGTCCGTTGTGAGATATCTGTACACTGTGTGAAGATGTATTGCTGTGGTTGGTTTAATAAAGCTGAACGGCCAGTAGCTAGGCAGGAGGTATAGGTGGGGTTTCCAGGGAGAGAAAGGAAGAGGAGGAGGACCTAGGCACGCAGGAGAAGGCAGGAGACAGAGAGGAAACAGGAAGTACAAGATGGAAGAGAGGTAACACCACATGACAGAACACAGATTAATATAAATGGGTTAATTTAAGTTATAAGAGCTAATTGGGGACACGCCTAAGCTAAAGGCTAGACTTCTATAATTGATAGATCTCAGTGTCGTTATTAGCAGGCTGGTGGTCCCAATGAGAAAGCATATCACACCTGTTCGTGTGTGTTCGTTGGCAGTAGGTGCCGGTATCCTGTGAGACATCACACTCCTGCTCTGTTACACTGACCCCTCCTCAGGTCTCCTGGATGCTTGTAGCAGTTCCTGTCAAGGTGGTGTAAGGCATTTATAAATGATTACCTAATTGAATTGTCCAAATGGATTAGCTTGGGTTTTGTGGTGAAGATTGGGAGGAACAAAGAATTTGGAGTCAAATGAAGATAGTTATGACGTAAGGTTATTATGAGAGCAGATAAACAAAAGAATACGTGTAAGGCCTTAAGTGGAGTCTGTAGTCGAAGTTAATAAATAAGTGGTAAATCTGCTTATCTCTCAGTGAAGTTGATAATGGTAATGAGTTCATCTTAGCCTCCACTCCTGATGTATAACGATTTAGGAAAGACCCTAATTCTTGATGTAGGAAAGAGTGGAGGCGAGTAGCCGTGCAGGGATTGACCCCTTCTTTGTGGCTGGTTAGAGCCTAGCAGGAAACTCTCGCGGCTCGTTTGCACCCACACTCTCCAGACACAAGCAGAATTATAACTCCGTCCTCCTCAGGCTTCCCACAGCTGATGAGGGTGACCTCTTCGGGCTCACTCTCTGCTTTTTACTGTCTTTTCCCAGTCAGATTCAAATTTCCTCTTTGTCTAGTTTTTGCCAGTACACGTACATTTCAGCCGCTGCCACTGTGCTAACGGTCTGGTTTCCTCTGATGCCACAGGCACTGTGGTTTCCATTGTTGGAGGCGATGATGGCACCACAGAAGCTCTCCGGCTCAGCTGCTCCTCATCTGCACTGCGAAGGTAAACCCCTCAAAATCCCCTCGGCTGGGCCACTCCCCAGCCCACTTTCTGTCTGCAAACCTGCTGTGGCAGCATCCTTCCCCTGTAGCGTTCTCTGTTATTTTCCCAGTGAAGCCGTTGTCGTAGTCCCAGTCTCACCCTGTGCCTTCCCTGCTGTGTGAGGAAAGTTTATAGTCTGTGCAGCTGACCAGCAGGCAGTTTTAAGATACCAAACTGGCCTGGGTTAGCTAAGTTTCTGTGTAAGGTGACTTTTTTCCCCTAATTAAAAAGAAAAGCAGAACTAGTCTTAATATTAACATTTTGTCCCAACAGCTCTGAAGTCTTTGACCATGCAAGTTCTAAACAGTATGGCGACGTTCATCGCCCTGCCGTCCATCTTACAGAGAATCCTGCAGGTGAGCTCAGAGGGGCGGGGAGGCCAAATATCGATTGATTTCGGTTATTTTACCAATAAGCGAGGCTGAGATTCAGATCACCCATGTCTTGGCATTACCCAAATTTCTAACTAACCTTGACTCAGTCTTACATGGTGTCACCCCATAGGTCCGGCCCTACCTGACATTGCTTCCATGGGGTTCACACACACATTTCCTGGTGTTTGTAGCCCCTGGGAGACAATGGGCACCTATTTCTGGTTGATCATACTTTTAGATTAAAAAAAAAAATCTCTAAAAATGTAGGCATTCTAAGTAGTAGTTGTTATTTCAGTTTTCTAGCTCATTCTAAAAATACTTCTAAGTTGAAAACTCACCCCAGCTGTAAATTCTAGCTAGCCTTTTGTCCAGAGTTATTGTAAGAAACATTTTCTCCTGTTTTCTTTGGCAAAAACTTAAAACCTCCCGGCTTCATAAGGAAGAGAACACTAAAAATACTCGGAGCTGTATTTTTAGTAAAACCTGTGAACATTCTGGGGGAGACAGCAGAAATTAGACCAGTCTTTCTTCTCTCATCCTGTGTGCAGTAGTAACGCGTGCACACTCGAGCGCAGACACTCACAATGCACGCACACACGCACACATGAGCACATAAGCATGTGCACGCACACACAGAGTCAAATAGTGCCAGGACTCCACTGGTCTCGATTTTTATCCATTGGAATGTCCCCACAGCTCCTTCTAAGATTCCCCAAGTGCTTCTTCTCAGGTGCTCTGAGGCTTCTGGGTGGCCAGTCTGATTTAGGGTGCTGCATGCAATCGTCCTCCATCACAGAGTGCTATGTCCACAAGAATTTAGGACTCGGGGGTGTTGCTCAGCGGTGGAACCCTTGCTTGCCTAGTGTGAGGCCCTTGTTCATCCCCGATACCAAAGGAAAAAAGAGCATGAGTATCGTATATGGGGTTTTCTGTTTAGTTGGTTGGTGTTTTGAGACAGGTCTCCCTGTGTAGCCCAGGCTGGCCCCGAACTCAGATCTCCTCCTACCTCTGCCTCCCAGTGCACCAACACACGCAACCCTCAAGTGTGAGTTACCGCATTCAGTCCTTGGCAACTATCACATACTGAGGAATTCTCCAAGGTAGACTGTTTCCATGTGTTTTAAATAAATTAATCACAAGGTTTGAAAACGTGTAAAGAGACACCTCCATGAGGCTAGAAGAATGGATCTAAATCCCAAAGCAGATTCTGTCTTGTATGCACACTGTGCCTTATGGTGAGCTTTAGCCACACACTGTGCTATATAAATTACAACCAAAGTCTGCCTCTCCTTTTGCAAGGCATCACGTAACTCGGAAACGTTTTGTTTCAAAACTGATCTCTTTGAAGCCTTTTAATATTTGAAACTCTTGGCTTTGACTTACACTGGGATTCATTACAATTGTGCTGTTTGCATTATTAATTAACTTCTCACTAATCAGGGGGGTGTTCTGTTCTTAAACTTACCCATTTGTGTTTATTGTAATAGCTTTGCCCCTGTACATGGACAAGGATTTTTTAAAAGTACTTTTATTCATCCCAATCCTTTGGTACAGGGAAGGCGGTTATATAGATTGTGGCTAACCAGTTGATAGCATGCTTGCCTTGCATGCAGGAAGCCCTGGGTCCAGTGCCCAGCACCACATCAACACCTCGTGTGTAGGTGTGGCATGCAGAGCCGTCACTCTGGAGGTGGGGAAAGGATTAAAAGTTAGCAAGTTCCAGACCAGCCTCCCTATGTCAGACCCTGTTTTAAGTCTGCTGACAAAGGAGAAAAACCAAAGAGAAGTGTCCTGGGTGACAGATGGGAGCTATTGCCTGCTTTCTGAGGCACGGTTTTGATGACGTCATTTCAGTTATCCTCCATTTAAGTTTGTGTTTTTGAGGAACAGATTAGTTACCGTGTATTAGTTCTCTTTTACCCAGTTCCACTGATTGCTTGTGTAAATGAAATGAGAGTCTGCCCCACAGGAGCTTCCTGAGAGAAAATGTTAGGATTCCTCTGTTCACAGTGTTTCACGTGGGAAACATTGCATTTTAAGGACTGTCTGCTCTGCGCTGTGCTGAGGAACTAGCGCATCTCCATTGCTCACCCTCGGTCCACGTGTAATAGCAGGAGAATGGAGGCAGGGGAGCAGGGCAGGCTGGGCCTGGAGGCTGGATCAGGTGGTCACAGGGAGACTGAAGGGCGTCCTGGTCCAAGCCCAGAGGTCGGGTGACACAGGCCAGACTCACCAGATTAGGCTGGGCACTGGTTGTGAGACCTGGGCTAGATTCTAGGACTGGGAGGGTTTGAGGAGGGTAAGACCCACCAGGCTGGACCCCATTGCGAGATGTGCAGGGCTGGCCTGGACCTGGAGCAGATCTTCTTTTTAAATTGGAGGTCCCCCATGACTGTTTGTCTTTATTCATGAGATGTCTGTTCCAGAACTTTTGCCTGCTTTTTAGCTGAGGCATTTGCTCTGATGTCTGTGGGTTTGAAGTGTTCTTTCTACAGTCGTTTATAAAGGCCTTGATTGGGTATGTGTTTTGTAGATATTTTCTCACATGCATCATATATTTATGTATAGATGATATGTAGCTAAATAGTTGTCTTTTAGGTGCCACTGTGTTAGAAAGAAGTTGAATTCTGTGTGATCACATTGGACCTCTTGACTTTGCGTTTGTGTAATCCCTCCTGGGTTCCAGTGGTTTTCCTTGTTGACCTCTTAGACTCCTTTATGAAGGAATGTTGTTATGTAGCTTCCAGTTCTAGGACTCCAAGGCCATAGCCCCATGTCAGTCCCACTTGGTAATGACTTCACAGTGTATGTGATCATATGGCAAGAACTTGTGCAAGAGGGAGCAGTTACATCACCAGAACAGAAGCCAAAGATAATGCAGATGGCCACAGTTCTTCAGTAGCAGTGCTGGGGGAGCAACATGGCATCTCGTGGAACTGCCTTAGTAGTCCTGATATTTTTACTGTTTTGGTTTTGCCTACAGTGACCTAAACACTTTCCAGTAGACCTCTTATAGATGCCACCGTCTCCTAGCGTTGCCACACTGAGGACTTAGCTGAGTGTCCAGCACAGGAACCTGTGATGCTAAACCACACCCGCATCATAGAGTCTTTGCACTTGTCCTTTTGATCCCTGAACAGACTCACACTTCTAGAGGGGAAGGTACTGTTCTGAGCTTACCCCAGTTTACTGCTCCTGGTGAGAAACTGGTCCTCTGGCTTCACATCTCTGGCTTTCTGCTCTATCTTGAGTTGATGCATTTTTCAAGTTCATATTTACCTAGCGATCCCCCAGGGAGAAGGTAGGGAGGGATGGTTATTTAGACACATAATTGCCCTTATACAACTAAAGTAAGTTAAAGAGTTCCTTAAAAGCTTCCTTACTTATCAACCACTTATGCTCCTAGAGAAACTGTATAATTCAGGCTCCAGGCATCACTTTGAATAAATATGCACCAGTCACGACAATCTCAGCATATGACCATCTCTTCTGAATTTTTTTTTTGGGGGGGGGTTGAGATAGGGTTTCTCTGTGTAGCTTTGGAGCCTGTCCTGGGACTTGATCTGTAGACCAGGGTGGCCTCAAACTCACAGAGATCCGCCTGCCTCTGCCTCCCAAGTGCTGAGATTAAAGGCGTTCACCACCACCGCCCAACAGGAACTCTTAAGTTAGAGAGGCATCACTGGGTAGGGCAACAAGATGGCTCAGTAGTGGGAAAGATGCTTCATGACAAGTCTGACAATTCTAGAACCTATGTAAATGTACAAGAATAAAGCCAGCTCCTTAAACGCTGGCCTCTCCACATATGACCCCCCATGTCTCTCTGCCTCCCTTTCTCCCTCCCTCCTTCCCTTCCTCTCTTCCTCTCTCTCTCCCCTTCTCTCCCTTCCTCCTTTCTTCTCCCTCCCTGTCTCCCTCCCTGTCCCTCCCTCCTTTCCCCCCCCACACACAATGATAATAATGAATAAAATCAAGGATTTTTAAATGGATACCACCTATGGCTGAAGTCATTCTTGATTTCTAAGAATGCTACTTGCAAATATCCTACTGAAAAAACCACGAGGCTGCTGTGTACACTCTTTCATAGAGCCATGCTCACACTTTAAGATAATGCTCAGTTAGGAAACAAATCACGTATACATGTGATAGGCTAAGTTCCAGAAAGCAGTGGGGGAAAGCGGCAACCGCATCTTTTTCTGGCGAGCTTTTGAAACTGTATGTGGGCACCAAGTGTGTCTTCCTCCGCAGTTAATGGTGACTTACAGAGAAACGTCTTTTGTTTGCTTTAACTTTTTGGGGGGCCCGCCACCAAGCTCCCAAATAAATCACACATGGAGGCGTAGGTAATGGCTAAGTCCTGGGAAGACCAGCAGTAGCCTTGGCTGATAGATATCACCTGTCAGGATTCAGGAGATCTCCCCTGAACACACCTGATCCATATTAACCCTGAAGGAATCCACAGCCTCTCATCTCCTGTGGGAACAAAACTCCAAAGCATTTTTGATTTCCATTTGACAAATATAGTTTTTGACTTTTTAAAAGTTAAGGCATTCCTAAAGTATATAGGCTGATTTATTTCAGCAGTCCCTCTTTCAATTCCAGGTCTCTTTGCAGCTGCCTTTGCTTTTCAACAATCAAAAAGTTCAAAATCAACACAGCAACATACAGGATGCAGACTCCCTGTGTATTTCCCATCTTACATGGCTTTTTTCTTTTACATTACTTTTACTCTCTCTTTAAAGACTTTATAAACTATTCATTTCTTTCTATGACTATACTCTTTCTTTTCTTAAGCCTATGTGCATTGTTAAACACACTGTAACCTGTTTAGAGGTTTTTCCATCTAGACCTCTTTTATTATGTATCTTCAGCCTTTTTTTTTTTTTAAAGATTTATTTTATTTATTATGTATACAGCATGTATGACTGCAGGCCAGAAGAGGGCACCAGATCTCATGGTTGTGAGCCAGGACAGATGGTTGTGAGCCACCATGTGGTTGCTGGGAATTGAACTCAGGACCTCTGGAAGAGCAGCAGGTGCTCTTAACCTCTGAGCCATCTCTCCAGCCCCCGTATCTTCAGCCTTTTTTGACCCTATGAGCAAACCTTTAAGCTGCTAACATACACCTTGATCCTCCACATGGGTTCTCAGCTGGCTCCACCCATTTCCTGGGTAGTGAAAACCAAGCGTGAAACTTGCAGCCCATGGGAGGTTTGTCTGCCCAGGACCTGCATTCAGCCTTCCTAGAGCTCTAGAATGCCGATGCTTACACTGTGGCAGGCATTTTTACTTAGTTTTTTGTTCCTATTTACCGTACTGGCTGCTCAAGGGCTTGCCAGCAGGCACAAACTCTTAAAGGAGCCTTATTTTTATTTTTTTAAAGCTTTCTCAGTCACTGTGGAAATGGGAGTACCACATTGGTACACCAAAATGTTGTTGGTTGTTTTCTTACTCTTTGTCTCTTTGGGGGCCTGCCACCCAGCTCCCAAATAAATCACACACAGAGGCTTAGTCTTAATTATGGATGCCAAGCCTTAGCTTGGCTTGTTTCTTGCCAGCTTTCCTTAACTTATCCCATCTACCTTTTTCTCTGGACTTTTCCCTTTCTTTTACTTCTGTAAATCTTACTCTTACTCCATGGCTTGCTGTGTAGCTGGGTGGCTGGCCACTGGAGTCCTCTTCCTCCTCTGGCTACCTCTTCTCTTCTCCCAGATTTCTCCTTCTATCTATTCTCTCTGCCTGCCAGCCCTGTCTATCCTTTCTCCTGCCTTGCTATTGGCCGTTCAGCTCTTTATTAGACCATCAGGTGTTTTAGACAGGCACAATAACACAGCTTCACAGAGTTAAATAAATGCAACATAAACTAAAGTAACACACCTTAAGATAATACTCTGTAACAAACATCAGCAGCTTTTTTTGTGAGAAAAAAAGCTGCAGAGTAATGATGAGAGCTGGAGGCTGCCCTAAGCTGTCCTTAAAGCCTTGCACTCATCTCGAATTCTATAATTGATGTGTTGCCTCAGCATGAGTAGTTTTTCTGGTTTTGCTTTTAAATTATGTATATTGAAGTAAATATAGAAATGACCTATAAAGATGTCGTCTTTTTCTCTGAATTTAACCTTTTTTTTTTTTTTTTTTTTTTTGGTTTTTTTGGTTTTTTCGAGACAGGGTTTCTCTGTGTAGCTTTGCGCCTCTCCTGGAACTCACTTGGTAGCCCAGGCTGGCCTCGAACTCACAGAGATCCGCCTGGCTCTGCCTCCCGAGTGCTGGGATTAAAGGCGTGCGCCACCACCTGCGCCACCACCGCCCGGCATTGAATTTAACCTTTTAAGACATCTTTATTCCCTGGGCAGTGGCGGTGCACACCTTTAATCCCAGCACTCGGGAGGCAGAGGCAGGCAGATCTCTGTGGGTTCAAGGCCATCCTGGTCTACAAAAGTGAGTTCCAGGACAGCCAGGGCCACACAGAGAAACCCTGTTTTGCAATACAAACAAATAACAGCAACAAAAGGATATCTTTATCTTTCAGTCTCTCTTGTCAAACTCCAAAACTATTAGTACCGTAGCACATTGACCGGCAGGTTAGAATAGATGTTAAATTAGATGTTTATAATATTGTACTACCGATAGACACTGTGGCTAAGAGATGTGTGTGCCTAATGGGAGCTTCATCAGAACATAATTAAACAAGGATGAAAGGCATTAAATAGATCTATTTTTATGCAAGGAAAATGAAAAGAGGAAGTTATCTGGTGGATGTGTGGTATGAGTTGTTTTTCCAAAGGACACATCTGAGATATAAGCCAGACTTGTGAGTGATCGCCCTGGTACAGGGCTCTCAAGCTCAGTGATGGGACCTCCAGCAGAGACCGGGACTTGAGCTGATAATGCCTGCTCAAGCCCTAATGTATTATAATTAGTAGAAAAATACAGAGCTATTTCGTCCTTTCCATTTCTTCAGTCTCACAGCCGAAAGCACTAGAGGAGTCGAATCCATGAAGAACAGCTCCATACTGCTCTAGAAAAACCCCAAGCTTGGTACTAGTCTCTTGTTAGAAGCTGTACTTACTGCCCAGCCTTCCAGAGCCTACAGCAGAAGCTGTGATTGAAAACGAGCAAGCTCGACAGGCAGGTGGAGGCGCACGCCATTAATCCCGGCACTCGGGAGGCAGAGGCAGGTGAATCTCTGTGAGTTCAAGGCCAGCCTGGTCTACAGAGAGAGTTCAGGATAGCCAGGGCTGTTGTATAGAGAAACCCTGTGGGGGGCGGTGGGGGGGACATCCAAAAAACAAAGAAAGAAAATGAGCAAACTCTGGTGTTAAATTCACCAAGTTTTTGAGATCTCTGCCAAGTTTTACAGACTTACCACAAAGGTACCAGAGACATTTCTGACAGTTGTTAGTTTATCGTTCAGTTTAGTTACCCTTATTTTCCAGCACAAATTAGTTTTTTATGTATCTATACTTGGGAGGGCAGCATAAATATGGGAGACCATAAAACTTGATTTCTTAAGTTTCTAGATGCACATTGCAGCTTTTGGCATAGCAGCTCTTGAACAGAGTTTGCGCTCTCAGCCTCAGCGTCTTCATTTGCTGAAGGTGTTGAGGGACACCAGTGAAGCGTATTCAGTGGCCCTGCAGCACCTGCTGGTTTCTGAGAACTCCCTAAGATGCAAGTGTCTGCGTGTGCAAGCCCTATATAAAAGTGTGAGTTTGTGTAAATCCTGCACGTCCTGCCCACTTCTCAAATTTGAGAAGTTTGGTTTTTGTGGTTCTGTAGCCCAAGCTGACCTCGAACTCAATATCCTCCTGCCTCCACCTCCCCAGAACTAGGATCACAAGTGCATCACCATGCCTGGCTCTCCCTTCCACACCTAGTACAGTGTAAATGATATGTAGTTGTGATAAAATCATATTGTCCAGGAAACAGTTACAATGCAAAAAGTCTGTGCATGCACAGACACAGTCTGGTCTGTTGTTTACTGTGTGCACCGTCTAATCATATGCAAGTGCCTGGTTGTGGGGTAGGGTAGATAGTATAAAGTGTTTTTTCCCTGTATTTGGCAAATTCTACCCCTTTAATAAGTACTGTCTACCTGGATCATAGTTGTATGCCTGGATTTCTCTGTTTGACAAAAGTCACTTGTCTTGCACATAACTTGGTGTTAGAGCAGAGTGATAGGCTTGACACTCTGATATGTTAGCAATTCCTAAGATTGTAATTATCAATCCAGTCAACGATAAAGATAAGGGCACACAAAATATGCTGAAGATGAAAATTGCATAATACATTTTAGATAGAGCAGTTTGTCAATATACCTGTAGCCATAAAACTGTCCTCTAGTCCATAATTCCCTTTCTGGAGATGTCCTCTTACAAAGGAGTCAGAGGTTGAGACCAAGATTATAGTCATCAGCCATGATACGAGTTAATGGGGCCGGGGAAGAGGAGACCCTGGACATAACAGCTTAGAATGACTAGGTAAACAACTTTATTTTAACATGATTCCTGCTCTGTAGTTTTCAGAACTATTTGATAGTGGTAGAGAGTACTCACAGTATAACACTAAGTAAAAAATAATGTGATGTGATCAGTTGCATATGCTGAAAAATGCATCCTCCTTCGTCCTTTGCAGAGCAGGGCTGAAGGAGGATCGGCCAGTGTCAGCAGTCTCTGGATGAGTGGATTGCAGTTTGGAGGTTTTTGAAGAGTTTTTGGTCCACCTAGTGTTTTCAGGATTATGCATAATAAATATGTGGCTTGGAATACCTACAATGAAAAATAGTAGAGAGAACTTGGGTTTCTAAATAGCTGTGATTTATCAGCAATGGCTTTATTACGAAAAAAACATGCTGAAAGCTGTTTTTTTCCAAAACTGGGGAGATTTAGTTAGTTTTAACCAAGAGATGGCAAAATGTGAGAGCCAAGGAATTGTCTGGATTCTGGTATCCTGAGATAACACTGATTTTCACGGGGTGGATGAATAAGAACTCAGAGAGGAAAGTTGGTGTCTGATCCAAAGAAGCTTCTGAGAGAAGAAGTGATAGAATGTTTGTTCAGACTTGCAAGGAAGTTGTTTATAGAGGGACTTGGGTAACCTCCATTTCATTTTCCAAAATATTTGAGATGTCCAGAGAGAAACAAATGAAGCACCTTCTGGGGAGGGTTCATGGAAGAATGGGTATGTTATGACTGTTAGTGCTTAGGCTGGCCATGGTAGCCCGTTCCTGTAAATCTGCCACTTGGGAGGATTGTGAACTTGAGGCCAGCCTGGGCTACCTCCCAGCCTGGGCTACAGCGTGAGATGCGACCGCAGGGGAAGTGACAACAACCAGCCATAACAAGCACTTAATGTGACGTTAAAATCCCAAGAATCATAACAGTTACATCTTTTTTTCTGATTAGGACCCAATTTATGGAAAAGGAAAACTTGGAGAAATCCAGGGCCTTATTCTGGGGATGTTGGACACCTTTAACTATGAGCAAGTAAGTAAGCTGCTTGCGTCTGAGTTTGTCTAAAGACAGAAAAATACTTGTTGGTTTTTCCTGTTCTTTTCTTTCCTTCTGCTTGAATATTTTTGTCTTTGAAAAAATCACAACTTACTAGAAATAAGTAGATTGAGATACATATGTACCTTTCCCTACTTTTAAGTTTCCTGTGAACTTAACTTATAAACTTGTGTGTGCCCGTGCACACACAGAATATTGAAATGCATCTTACTTATTTTATGATTCACTGGCAATCATCTAGTATTTTATTATATGATAAACTTTCTGATAAAATGATTAAAAACCTTTAATCCATAAAAATGGTCAGAGAATTATAGAAAATAGCAAAGTAAAACTAAATGACTGTTCATTTAAGTATTCTGTAACATTATTGCTACTAACTAGAAATTGTCATTATTCCTCCCTTAACTCAAGATTGCTTAGAGCTGTTAAGATTCAGCTAGAGCCAGCTCGGCCTTGTACACTTTCTTCCAGGTGCCATCTCGTGTGTTAGATACAGTATCTGCTTTTGTTAGAGTTTAGGAGCGAGAAGAAGAAGAATTGAGATGCGGAGCTTTTCTTAAATGTTTTCCTTAAGAATTGAGGCTGCCACAGATGGCACAGGGAGGCTTCATGTCCCCACAGACGCAGGCCCTGGGACATGGGGGGAAAGCTGAGCACCGCTGGGGAAGTCATAGAAGAGGAGAGAAGGGGGAGGCTGACTGGACGGTGTTAGCATACCTTGAGGACAGTTAAGTAGAAGTTTTGCATTACAGGTCAAGTTGAAGAGCTGAACTGTATAGCAGGGAGGTGGGCTGTGCCCAGGTCTGTCTTGCCCTTTGGACCGACAACCTGACTGCATGTCTCAGTGATGTGCATGCAGGTTGAGAATTAATACGGTATGAAAGCACTTTACAAGCATAGGCAGCCTTAAGGTGACCTCATGTGTTAGCAGTGAAAATGTCTTAATGACAGATGACAGGATCTTGAGCAGCTTCAAGTGACTTTTAAGTGCCAATCAGAAAATGAGATCTCTGCCCAGGGGAAATGAACGCTGAATAATGACATTAGCTTTCCAGTGAATTGATACTTGAAACACTGCCATGCAGCAGTTTCCATCAGAGGCCAGGAATCCAGGCTGTTCTTATCACAACTGTCGGGGCCATCGAGAGAGAAGTTATAAATACATGCAATAGATTTGGCCTTGTCGAGTCATCTGAAAGCCATCAGTACTGAATTGAGCCACAGAAGGGCAGAGCACACATTTCTTAGGAGCCAGTGACAGATTTGAGCGTTTGAATGTGTGCGTTCATCATCACTGTGTGGGAGGGGTTCCCACTTGAGTTGTTGGGTCGTCTCATCTCCAGTTTCAGCTGTGTTGTTCATTAGTCCCTGTCCTTCATTTTAGCCTTTTCTTTTGTTTTGACCTTCTGCAGACCTTGCTGGAAACCACAACCAGCCTTCTGAACCAAGACCTCCATTGGTCACTGTGTAACCTCAGGGCTTCAGTCTCCAGAGGACTCAATCCCAAACAGGACTACTGTTCTATATGTTTACAGCAGTACAAGAGACGCCAAGAAATGGCTGATGAAATCATTGTCTTCAGGTAAGAGAGGGAAGGGATATTAACGTCCTTGGCCCAAGTATGTGTGTGGTAGAAGCAGCCAAGCAGAAGTCCATGCACAGTCAGCCATTGAAGCCGCCGGCAAAATAGGCAAGAGTTCCTGCCCCACAGCCCTTCCAGTCTGAGTGGGAGTCGGGAGGGGACATCAGGGGTCTCAGACATTATATAAATCCTGTCTAATCAGAGTTAAGATGGAAAGAAAAGGCAGCAGGACCGGAGGGTGAAGTGTGTCCCCAAGAACAGTGCTGTGTCAAGCAAGCAGGATAAGGGATCTCTCAGGGGATGATGACCTTGAGCAGAATGAGAGACAGAGGTGGATGTGCGGAGAGCCGTTTGGATCAGTGGCTCTGACAGGTGTGACCAGCTTGCTGGTGCATTGGATGTGGAAGTGGGAACTAGGATGTGGAAGTGGGAACTAGGATGTGGAAGTGGGAACTAGGTCTCTGACTTGAGAAATACAGTGGATTGTCTGAGGAGGAACCAGTATAAGGAACTGGGAAAACAATAACTCTGCCCTGCAGATCTTAGGCTTGAGGGAGCTGCCAGATTCTGAGTAGGTTATCTAATAGTCATACTTTATCAGAAATCCAGGGCCATGTTGAGACTGGAAATACATAGTTAGGAGTCAGAAACACAGAGATACTTAAGCCACAATACCTAGAGGGAGACGTGTCACACACAGGTGACACAGGGACCAGAGACGCCAGAGTCCAACTTCCTGGTTTCAGATGTTGATTCTGCCATGTCAATTTCATCTTTTTCTATCTCAGTTTCCTTACTTGTGGACTGAGATGGTAACAGTAACTGCATGTTGAGGTTTTGTCATCAGTCAACAGTGCCCGGCATGAGGAAGTGTTTTTTGTGAGTGTCAGCTGTGCAGGAAAACTGGCAGGTCTGGAGATGCACGAGGAACGCGTTCTCATCGCACTAAGAACCATCCCTTCAGGAGTCGCTTATTGAGAACCTGCTTGTCCTGGTTGTTGTTGATGGTTTTGGCTTTTGTCAGTTCAACTAAAGTCATCTGACAAGAGGGAACCTAATTGAGAAAATGCCTCAGTAAGATTGGCCTGAAGGCAAGCCTGTGGGGCATTTTTTTTTTATTAATGATTGGTGCGGGAAGGCCCAGACAGTTGTGCTTGGTATCACCCTTGAGCAGGAGATACTGAGTTCAGTGAGAAAGCAGGCTTGGGGCTGGAGCATGGCTCAGTGGTTAAGAGCTCTTTCAGCGGACCTGGATTCATTTCTCTGCACCACATAGCAGTTCACAACCACCTGTAACTCCAATTCCATGTGATCTGATACCCTCTTCTGGCCTCCATGGGTACCAGGCATGCAGGCAAAATACCTATACACACAAAATATAAATAAATAAATGAATGAAGCAGGCTAATGAGGAGCAAGCCAGTAAGTAGCATTCCTCCATGGCTTCTCTTCAGTTCCTACCTTCAGGTTCCTGCCTTGAGTTCCTGCCCCGTCTTACCTGAGTGATGGAACATGACCTGAGAGTTGTAAGCTGAAATAAACTCTTTTCTCCCCAAGTTGCTTTTGGTCACTGTCTTAGTTATGTTTTTATTGCTATGATAAGATAGCACAACCAAGGCAACTTATAGAAGAAAGAATGTATTGGGGGCTTACAGTTTCAGAGCCCTTGATGAGCAGGGCAGGAGCATGGAAGGCAGGAATGGTTCTAGAGCAGTAGCTGAATGCTTACATCTTCATCCAAAGTAGGAGGAGAGCTAACTGAGAATGGCATGGGCTTTTGAAATCTCAAAGCCCACTCCCAGTGACACACCTCCTCCAACAAGGCCACACCTCCTAATTCTTCCCAAACAGTTCTACCGGCTGTTTGGCAAGCATTCAAAGATTTGAGCCTCTGGGGGCTGTTTTCATTCAAACCATCACGGTCATGGTGTTTTATCACAGCAACGGGAAACCCTAACAAAGACACTACTGTGAACCAGATCTATTCATCAAGATAAGGAGCAGAATGAACAAAATATGAAGCAGTGATAACTACTATAGAAAAAAAAGAATAAAACATGCAGAGAGATTTGCAGAAGTTTGGGGGAATGGCTGTTTTATATAGCATGGTTAGGAATGCCTGACTGTTGAAATGACTTATTAATAGGCAACTGTGAAACCTAATTAAAATGTAATTACTTATTACATTAATAAGAATAAAACAGTATTGAAGAAAGAGGATGTTGGTAGCTACAAGTTTATAAAGATCAGTTGGGGGACACCCCCTGTGTAGATGATTTTGGAGTGATTTTGAGACCTAAGGAAGTGGCTGTCTAATTTGTGGGATGCGTGTTCAGCTGGGGTTAGGGATGTGGAGGCTGTCAGGCAGCACATTCCTACCGTGCTCGACGGCCAGTGAGTGGGTAGCACAAGAGGTCTGGACAGAATGAAGAGGAAGCAGCGAGAGAATGCCCGAGGGACAGCAGAGGTCAACCGGACAAGACTGGGTTCTTGTACGAAGATGGGCTTTTCTTCTGAGAAGGCACTGGGTAGTTTTGAGGGTGGAAGTGGTGTGTCAAGGGCCACTGGTTGCTGTTTTGAGAGTGGACCACGGAGGGACAAGGAAGGAAGCAGAATGACCGGTAAGGCGACTTCAGTAGCCTGCATGAGAGATGGCGCAGTGCAGTCAGTAGCGAAGAACTCAGAAGTGAGAACTCTGGGTACCATCTGAGAGCAGACCCAGCAGGATTTGCTTCCAGATGCGCTCATGATGTGCAAGGCAGGAAACAGTATGGATGACTCCACACTTCCTCCTGAGAAGCTGGAAGAGTGCAGTTGCTGTTGCTGAGATGTAGAACGGTGGATGGAGATACGCAATGGCGGTTGAGTTAATGAAAGTTAGGGGCTTGCATTCGCATATGTTAAATCAGGACTCCTGTTAGACACCCAGGGTAGACTTCTCAAGGAGACAGATACATAGGGCTGGAGGAGATGTCTGGCCTGGCGGTACACACCTGGGCGTCATGAGCCCGTGGCATTTTAAAGGTTTGGAACTAGAAATAATAGCTGAAGGAGCAGGGCTGGGTAGAGGAACGACAAGTGTACGAGAAGCAGGCTCTCTACAGAAAGAAACACTCAAGAAGGAAAACTAGACAGCCAAAGAGAGGGTTGCCTTCTGCACTCCTCCAGTGTTTCTGGTTAGAAAAGGGGATCCCGAAATGACCACTGAGAGGCATCCTCAGTACCAGCCCCTGGATCCCTTCCTAGGAGCAGTACTCAAGCTTCCAAGTGTGGCATCTGTGTGAGGGTTTCAAATCATAATCCACCTGGAATATGGCGAGGACACTCGTGCTTTTACCAAGCCACTCAGATAATTGTGACTTTTTCCCAGTTGCTTTAAAAACACTACCTGAAAACCACTATCAGAATGCTACAGTTTGAGCGTGAACATTGGCTCAGCTCAGCTTCTGCAGTCAGAGAACTCACGGAGGCAAACCTACTCACAGCTTAAGAATCCAAGTAGGCGGCAGTGGCGCACGTCTTTAATCCCAGCACTCGGGAGGCAGAGCCAGGCGGATCTCTGTGCGTTCAAGGCCAGCCTGGGCTACAGAGTGAGATCCAGGACAGCTACTCAGAGAAACCCTGTCTCAAAAAAAAAAAAAAAAAAAAAGCAGTAGGTGAAGTGGGTTCTTAAGGGGAGGACATCAGTGAGTACACGTCCCTCCTGATTCATGTCCCTGTACAGCCGGCCACTAGTCATTTTGGATTTTTCTTCACCACATGCAAGTGTCCCACCCTACCCTATCATAATTCATGTTTATGGACTTTATACTAAGGGAAAGTACAAATGTGTCTTCATTTTGCAGCTGTGGCCATTTGTATCATTCATTCTGTCTACAAAGCAAGGAATGCACCCTGGAAATTGAGGGCCAGACCAGATGGACCTGTTACAAATGCAGCTCAAGTAATAAAGCGGGCAAACTCAGTGAAAATCCTTCTGAGAATAAGGACGGACGGCTAGCCTCCTCACAGGTGAGACTCGGTTCAGCGCTGCCGTGGCCTGTGCTTTTCTCGTCAGTCTGGCAGGCCTGGCCTGTGTCGTCAGGTCCCATAAGCCTCTAAATTACCTGATAGAAACGGAATGCGTGACATCTCCTGCTCAGTCATGTGGAGGGTGTGAAGAGCCTGTCTGCTCTGCACCGACACACTGATGAGATGTGTTCTGTCCTCTCTCGGGGACCTTAGCCAGAGTGGCAGGTCAGCGAGGACAGACGAGCACCCGCCCGGGAAGAGCGTGGCATCACCACTGTCTTGGAGCTGGTGATGGACAGCTGCTGCTTGTGTGCTCTGTGCATGTTCCTTTCTTGAAAGAACTTGGTGCAGTGTGTTCATTTCAGAAACTTCTCACTGCCCCTGGAGGCTGGGAATAGAGCTCAAAGTTCGAAACCTCAACCCCTAGCTTAATCTTCCTGGCACCAGCCCTCATTCCCAAACTATACAGGGGTCCCCAGCTCCCAGTCATCTCATTGGCACACGAAAAGTGCTCTTCTTGAAAGGGCGGGGGTGGCACATGCCTTAATCCCAGCACTCAGGAGGCAGAGGCAGATGGATCTCTGTGAGTTTGAGGCCGGCCTGGTCTACAAAGCAAGTACCAGGAAAGCTAGGAGCCAGAGCTATTACACAGAGAAACCCTGTCTTGAAAAACCACAAAAGAAAAGAAAAAAAAAAGTGCTCTTCTTACAGAGGAGATTCAAAGGTGGAATTGGGGTTTTTGTTTGTTTGTTTTTTAGATTTATTTATTTTTACTTTATGTATATGAGTATTTTACCTGTATGAGTTTGTATGTCTGTGTACCACTTATATGCAGTGCCCAAGGTGGGCAGAAAGAGGGCATTGGACTTCTTGGAAATGGAGTTACAGAAGGTTATAAGCCACCCCATAGGTGCTGGGAATTGAACCTGGGTCCTCTGGAAGAGCAGTCAGTGCTCTTAACTTCACAACCCCAGTTCCAGATTTTAAAGAGCTCTTTGCCAGGACCAAGGGACAAAGGCCAATAATTGTATTCTTACTGCATGACAAACAAAGATGAACCATGCCAGAAGAACAGAGATTGAGTGTACCTGAATCAGATATAAAAAATCATGGGAGATTATGTCAGCTGCCCCTGCAAGGGAAAATGGGGAGGGGAATAAGATAGGTAGGTAAGAAGAAAAACGAGGCAGACGTGATAGAGAGCAAACCTCTGCTCTCAGCAGAAGAGGATGTGCATTAGGACATGACCATGGTTAGGTCTAGAGTGAAGAGCTCCTTCACAAGCGTCGCCTCCCGTGTAAGGCGTAAGTCACCATCTCTCTTGGAACCCAGCCTCTCCTCACCACCCTCAAGCCCCGGAAGCTCCTGATGCATTTTGACTGACTTTGCATGTGGAATGTGAACTAGGCGTGGGGACTTAGCCTTTTGCATGTTCTTAGTCATTGAATGGTCTTTGTACCTTAGTAAAAAATTGGTTAGCACATACTCTGAACTCTTTTCAGTGATACAAGTATCTGTCAGTTTTCTAGTTCTGTCGCTGTATGGGAAATTTGGCTGCAAAGTTGTGTGAGTCCTTCAGCTTTGCTTTTAATTCTGACATTTGACTACTCTACTTCTGCTGCCTTTTGTTGTGTGCGCGTGCGTGCGTGCGTGTTGGTTTGGTTTTTCAAGGCTGAGTTTCTCTATATAGCGCTGGCTGTCCTGGGAACTTGCTCTGTAGACCAGGCTGGCCACAAACTCACAGAGATCCGCCTGTCTCTGCCTCTGTCTCCCAAGGGCTGGGATTAAACGCGTGCACCACCACTCGGCTCATTACAATTTTTTGAAACAGATAATACATTTACTGGTTGGCTATGAGTAGGAAAATGCATCTGTAAGGAAAAGAGACCCTGTATATAGATATAATACTAGCCAGTTACAGTTTGACCAAAAAGATTCCACTGAAAAGAACAGTAAAGGCCCTTGCTACCACCAGTCCATCTGGTGTAAAGTCGGTTTCTCATCACTCTTTGCAAAACGCTGCCAAGGCAGATGTAGCTCTTGAGCTTAGCATGGCTAGTGTTTGGGGTTTTGTAACATGAACAGTAAACAAGAGTTCCAGGGCATCACACAGTATGTACTGTGAATAACAACCACTCTACTTTACATCAGCATCCCAGTTTTAAAATTTTATGTAACTAAAAGGAGCAATGTCAATATCTTAAAATACCACTTACCGGGGTTGGGGATTTAGCTCAGTGGTACATCGCTTGCCTAGCAAGCGCAAGGCCCTGGGTTCGGTCCTCAGCTCTGGGGAAAAAAAAAATACTGCTTACAATTGGGGGACCCCTGCTCATGTTCTCTGTTACCTGTGACAGATGTCCTGGATGTCGTGACTGACTCATCCTCTAAATGCGTCGCCTGGGCTGGTTACATGACCCCCACACTTAAAGTCACAATGGCAGCAAGCTCTGTAGTTTAAATAGGAAAAAATGGGACTTCCCCTCCCTGCCCCTCATTTTCATTGAAAGCCTCATTATAAATTTTAAAGTCAGCTTACTGCTCTCTATAAGAGAAAAATCTAAGCTCATGTTAAGTTCTGAAACCATTTACAGTATATTCATTTCCCATGTCTCCATACCTCAGGCACTGAAAAAGAAAACACTCAGTTTACCTGCCTTTCCTTTTACCTCCTCAGTGCATGTAAAAAGGTAAATACTTTAAAAATTAGACATCCATGTCAACAGCGTTTCTCCATGTGGCTGTCTGTTCTGTGTGGCAGATAGGGCCCACAAGGAAAGAGTTGATATGAACCGTATCAGATACATGAAGTGTTTAGCTTCACACCAACTTTATGAGGGTGAGATCGTCCTGATTTTACAACTGAAGGAACTAGATGCAGCTCAGAGGGGAGAGCCAGTGTTTGAACTCATGATTTTCGGAACACTGCCCCTCCATCCTTCCAGGAAACTGCCTGGTAACTCTAACTGTAAAACAGATGTACATGTATTGCCGCTTGATAGTCCTCCACATCGTATGAGTCATTCACATTTCTAATCATAAACTTTAAGTCATAACTATCAATTTCATAGTATGGTGGTTTTCACTAAAGTTCACTGTCTGTGAGTTTTCCTTTGATTCTTTAGTTTTCTTTGAAGATCTGTCCATCCTGCTTACCTCTGTCCAGAGAGAGAGCATGGCAGGAGCCACTCGACTTTCACATGCTTCTCTCTGTACACAGGAAGATTGAATGTGTTTGAAATATCCCATTGCCCTTGGAACACCATCCTGTCAAATAGCTTTTGATTTTATCTTTTTGGGAAAGGTGATAACTGATAGTTAATTCTCCAGCTTCTGACTCCAGCTCAGCTTCATGCAACACTTACTCCTTTGCAAACCTGTGGTCCTGGCTGGTCAAGCGCTGTCTCCTGCTATTCTTACCTAACTTCATGTTAGCCAATATGTACAGCCAATCAAGTTTACATACTAGTTGTCTACCAACAAACTGACATGACCAGGACATAAGTGATTCCCCAGAACACCTCTTTCTCCTGGAATAAGGATTTGATCCTGCATAACCAAGAGGAATGATCCAAATGACTTTCTTTGCTTACTCTCGGGGTTTACGGACGCTCAGGGGATCTCAGAGCCAGTGTCGTCTTGGCTGGGCCGTCTCACTCTGTGTCTCTCCGTGCACAGATAAAATACACAAGAGAAGCCGGGCGGTGGTGGCGCACGCCTTTAATCCCAGCACTCGGGAGGCAGAGGCAGGCGGATCTCTGTGAGTTCGAGGCCAGCCTGGTCTACAAAGCAAGATCCAGGAAAGGCACAAAGCTACACAGAGAAACCCTGTCTCAAAAAACCAAAAAAAAAAAAAAAAAAAAAAAAGAAAAAAAGAGAAAAAAAAATGCACAAGAGAAACTAATTTCAGTTGAAGTATTCAGCATCCTAGTCTAGTATCTCAGTATGTTTATTCATTTATATTAATATCAAAAGATTTCAGTTTCATCTTAATTTATTCACTTATTAAATTCAAAGTAACAGATAATACTTCCACTAGCATTAGATGAGGTGAACTCACTATTAAATTTTTTAAAAGTGACTATTGAATTTATATTAATTTTAAAGTACAAATTCAAAGAAAAAAAGATTTAGTAGGTCTCAAACAACAAGCTGTAGTTTTGAATTGTCACAGGTACACAGTTGGTTTGAGAGGCAAATAGAATGTTATAGGTGAGAACGTTGGATTGAGCAGCAGGGAATATACTTATTTACAGATAGAACCTTTAAGCTCATCTCGGACGGGTACAAAGTTAGCAGCCATGTTTAAAAAAAAAACATTTCAAACAACACAACAGGATGCAGAAGGGGTCTGAGGAGGGAAGTGGAGGGCACTGTGCCACATGCCTGCAGGCCCAGCTACTAGGAAAGCTGAGGCAGGAAGGTCTCTGGAGTGTGAGACCAACCTGAGCAACACTGTGAGATGTGTTGGGGGTGGGGGGACTGTAAATGTGGAAACTGGGGAGGAAGGAGCAGGGACGAGCATGTTTGGTCACAGGAAACACTGATGGTTTTAAAACAAAGGCTGTGATATGGCCCAGGACCGGGCTGTGCGCAGATAGCCATACCTATTACTAAACTTCTTTTCCAGATCTATTGTAATGAATGGCTTAACATTCCTACCAGTCAGCAAAGGCTTGTGTCCCAGACACCTGAGAATAACAGTAATGAAAAAAGAATTTTCAGCCGTTGTGCATAACTATATTTTTAGTGGAAATATAAAGGAAGGACTTAAAAAATTCTACTCCCCCACAATGTGAAAATACTCATCTTGTCAATGTTCAAAGTAATATACATTGAAATAGCAGTATACCATTGCTTTAACTTACTAAACTAGCAGGCTCTTAGAAATATTTATTAAACTGGCACACATTTAAAAATACCCTTTTTGTGCATGCGGGTGTGTGTGTGTGTGTGTGTGTTTGCATGTGTGTATGGGTGTTTCCATGTGTAGGGGCTGA